CGGTCATTCCTGTCAAATCCAACAAAGGTCTAATGCATTTTAATGAGGCAAAATATTAATAGTGCATGTGGGACAAGGCATCCAGTTGCACATTTTCCTTCAATTACTTTGGACACGTCGTACAAATACCCTATAGTGCGGCTGGCAGTTCGCTCGAAAGCACACCGCGACACCCTCATAAATATATCCTGCTGATCCAGTTAACTGAGATCAGCTACCGTGGCACACTCAGCCTCGCGGACCGATGCTCGATAATGCCAAACCCTGTCCACGCACATTCCGAATAAAATTGCGAATAAGGCATTGCCAATCGCCTGCAGAGATGCACGCATGCACTGAAGCCGCCCCTCCTTGCATACAATCTGACACGTGACAGTGCCGATAACCGCACCGGGAGAATGAATGTGCTCGGTGTGCTTAAGCCTTTCGAAACAGCATCCCAGGTTCTAAGCGCACCCCACACCAAAATCGTAACCCGGGAGAAGGTTTCTCCGCGAACTGCCAAATGACGCTCGTACGCAAACTGCAAACTGACACGATGCTCGCAGATGCATTATCCCTACTGCTCTACCAAATACTATGATATAATCCTAGCAGTACACAGAACATAGTTTAATCACCAGACGCTAGCTCTGCTCAAGCTCAGTACCAACCGCAAAATGATACAGGTTCACCGCACCCAGTGGGAGCGGTTTCTCGAGGGAGTAACGGCCCGTAAGAACAGTTTGGTATGTCGGTTCTGTTAGCTCTCCAAAGTCCGCCTTTTTATAATTGGTGAGTACACCCGGTTCCTGTGCAGTAGATCGATATTCAGTAATAATTCTAGGCCGGTGCTACGAAAACCCGGGAACGTGGTAGCTAGCGTGAACGCGCAATGTGACAGTCTGCTAACTTGCCCTTACTTGAAACTTGAAAGAGCTCGAATGCTTTAGGTAAACCAGCCCAGTACGCGTGCGTTTTCCCTTCCGCCCTCTGATGAGCTAACCAGTGACTAAAATTTGCAGTCAAGGTTCCGCATACTCCTGTGCACGCTCGTTTTGCATGTATACACTTTGTATTGGCCTCCCTGTTGGTCGCGGCTCTCGCGTTTCCGTTCGCCGAAGAGAAACTATCTCCATGTATAACTGGATTGGCTACAGACTCTACCACGCGCTTGACCTAAAGCACCGCGGAGTTGCTGCCTCCCCCTATGACATATCGCGTTGCAAACATACTGGCTTTGTAATTGATTGACGTCGTCAGTTTCTTTTGTGAGGTAGTAATACGTATCTGCACGACAGTTGCACAATTCATTACGTTCTGCGATTTGCTTTGCAGGCGTCATGCATATTTACACCATTCGCGTCGTCCGTGCCTTTAATGGCCGCTTGTGCTTCGCTGGTCATGTTATTCCCACTGACAGTACTTCCGCACATTTGAAGGACCCGAGGCAAAGGTCGCATATAATGCATCCCGGCAAGTGATATTTTGGCCATCACAAATGCTCAAAGCTTCTGTACCAAGCATCCAAGTGGCACATACCAGGTGCACTGTAACTCAAATTTTGCTTGGGTATCATCTCGCGCAGTACAGGGGCACGACAGGAGCAGAGAACAACCAAAATAACCAAGCGTTTACTGGCGTACAACAGAAAAGCACCCATTTCTTGAATAGTGGACACACCTTAAAGGATTGCTTACTTCATGATAAAAGCACGTGCTGAACTCTCCCCACCGCCGCTTACACGGCTACATGCGCCGAGCTACAGTAGCAATAACACCCTACATCCACCAGAGGCAAAAGTACGGCACTGTACTTGCCACCGATACAATACAACTCATTGACAATCTACGATGCTGTGTCGGCAATTCTCCCTTAACGCGTCTTTCGCCCGCTGCAAGTCTTTCAGTTAAGCCTCTGGAGTGATTCGCTAACACTGCTGGGGGGAATCCCTTGCTGCTGACAAGCCTCAAAACATAGCACACTTCAGTCCCTGAGTTCCCCTAGAATATCGCGGTCGCCTACTAACCATCAGGCATTCACTTAAACCTCGTGGGCCGGAACTTTTTAGTCTGTGCCCTTGCACAGCATGAGTTTGCCGAGACCTACTTTGCACGGCGCTCCATGCACAAATGATCTCTTAAATGATCTCTTAGGCCTCCCCTTATCCACTCCTGAACCACCCCAATTTCCGCTCGCAAGCTTCCGCTCATTCACACCAAACCTGCTCCTGTGTTTGCTCTCTGTCAGGGACACGAAGCACACATGGACCAAAAACACCGCAGCAACAGTGGCTGCCAGGAGAGCGATTGTTACGAGCGGCGATATCCTGCGTATCTCTCTCCATCCCAGCGGCGAGGCAATATGATCCATAATTGGGTCTTCATTGTGCGAGAAAATGACATCGGAAGTGGCACCATGAACGCCCGGTGGGTGACCGCTGGCAGCCACTGCCGCTAAAAATGCCGTGGAGGCTGTGAAAAGTGGGGTGAGCGCAAGCATTTTGCAAATCTATTCAGGTAACCGATACAGGAAGGCGATCTCAAAGCATCGATGCACGACGAGAGAGTGTGTTGCGGCTACTTCGGAGCACCGCATCCCAGTTTGTCTCGCCGTCCATACATGAAATCCTTCGTATTCCGTCACTATTCGCAAACAAATTTGCGTTGTATTATAACAATTAAAGGCACTACACATGCATGTGTAGTTTTAACGGAGGCACCGTCTCTACGTGGTACCTTCTCTCCAGGCTCCTGAAACACGGGCCACTGGAAGATGATCGGCCGCTGGGCTGTTTACGTGTGTGCAGGGTCAGTTGGCACACACATACGTCTGAAACCACTAATAAAAATGCAAAATAAGCATGGTCGTGTTTGTCTCATGCTTTCCGTTTCGCCCCTTTCGTCATGCGTACATCACAGATGGCGGTATAGTTGTAACGAAAGTCATGATACCGGCTGTAGTGGAGTTAAATTACATGTAAGAAGACTTCTGTAGACTAAAATGGCCTCGCTTCCCAGTCTTAAGGCTTCGTGGGTGTAGCAGCCCAAGTGGATTGGGCTGCTGATGATGATGCGCCCTGCCATGGGATGCAGCGCAGCTTGCTACAACTGATGGAGCAAGCTAGCCCCTCCAGAGGAGCACAAGCAAGCCCTCTTTGCTGTATGCACTAACGCCGTAGAAAACTGTCGAAGATTCTTGCTTGCGCTCCCTCCCCCTGCTGAGGTTCGAACGCGACGCCTTACAAGATAGTTTTACCACTGTTGGAACATGAACGCTTACTCAGTCTTAGTAGGCAACCTTGTCAAATTCGCCCTTATTAGGCAACCTTCGAGCAAGTAGCAAGCCCGTACGCAAGCAGACGCCTAAGACAGTTGCCTACGATATGACCGTATGCAGCAATGAATACCTAGTTGTTGCTGCATCTGTGGCTGCCTTCCAACATTACTCGTGGCAAGTTGCATTGCAACCCATGAGAAGCCGCCTCCTCTACCGCACCTAAAGGACGCTGTGTCTCTGATCTCAGGTTGTCTGGATTCTAGGGAGGGAGATCAGCAGCTCTTACAGAAGTCGTATTTGAAGTTTTTTTGTTCTATTGCAGCTTTCAGTAATCCTCCGATGATTGAGGAGTCATGTTATAGATGATACTGGACAGGCTTCCATTTACTTGCATTATATAGGGCATTCGTGTACAATGCTATACAGAGAGATCCTCGACCTTATCCACTGACTGCCGTGTGCCACAGTGAGGCCCTGCACAGGAGAAGTACGAGTTCGCCAGCGCAGGCCTCCAGTCTCCAGAAGCAGTAGGGACAGCAGCCTAAGCGTCTGGGGGTGAGGAAGATGAAGCCGCCTAGCACTTTGTCGCACCCCAGCGCAGATGTTGCAGTGAACCTTGAAGCTGTTAGTACTGCAAGGGGACCGATAAGAATCTTTCCCACGCAGCCAAACCTTCTTTACCAGCCGAAATTAACATTGAGGGAGTGGTTTATTCACTTGATCCTTATTGCCTGGTCTTCAATTGTTGCATGACTCCCCACTCTTACCCAGTGTCCTTTCCGATATGCTACTAAGTCAAATAGTTGAGATAATAGTTTCTTTACAGCAACTGTATCTTTCCCATGCCCCAGGCAACCTGAGGGATATGACCCGGACCCCAGGCGCTCGTGACGTGGAAGTCGCCTGCCATAGGTTGCAACATATCTTTCTGGGACTAACGGTGTACTACTGCTCATACGAAAGGATAAACAAGACTTCATTGTTGCACTCTCTAACACTGTAGAGAATTGTTGAAAGTCTCTGGTTTCTTGGGTCAGTTGACTCCCAACTTCAGGCAAGAATGGGTGGGGCAGCTTCAGGCGGACTTGCCAACATTGGACAGACTACGCTAGACCTCCTCCTCCGGTTTGCAGCACAAGCTTTCATGAGCCCGTGTCGCCCGTGAAGTTGGTTGTAAGGCCTTGGGGTTCCTGCCTCTTGCTGCTCAGCCGAGGAGGCCTTTGGCTGTTCCTGCTGCTCCTGTCACGTCATGTCTACACCTCATGGAAAGCCTAGTGGACGAGTTGTTTGTCAAGGATGCTGAAGCTGTGGTGTTCTGGTTGCTGCTCATCTGCTCAGAAGAAAACTCCTACATCTGCAAGACCTCTGGAAAGCCGGCGCTCTCTGGTTATTGATACTAATGTTAGGGGAACCTGGCATAATAGAAAAGCCTACCGATCGCTGTTTTCTTTGAGTGTGGCGTGCGCTTCGATAAGGCCTGCCGACGTCGCAGGATGTCTAGACATGGGGTACTGGTGTAAGAAGGGCGGAAACACTTCCGCATGCGCTCAATCACTGTCCGCACAACCTTGACTGCAAAGTCAAAGAACGACATAACAAGGCTTTGGAGAGGATTACAGCAGCAATCAAGCGCAGCATGGTGAATCGGGACAAGACCTCACAAATAGATAACAGTCAAGCGGATATGGAGATACTACAGGGGCCGGACATCATTCTTATGGACGACAAGAACAAGCGAATCGCGATAGATGATGTAGCTATTGTGTTTAAAGACTACCAGAAGAATTCGTTTGGATCAGTTCGTCTCCAGAAAGAAGAAATGTATCAAAGCCTCAAGACTTACTAAGAAAAACGTGGGTATAAGGTGTCAGAGCATGCATTAATATATGGGTCCCTTGGGTGTATTGCAAAGGAAAACAAACGAGTGCTTACACACGTTCTGGGACTCAATGAACGTACAGCGTCGTTTGTAAAACGCGAAATTAGCACTGACTGTATCCGCCAGAGCCATCGTATTCGGGGTTTTCACATGGCAGATAATGGCACGAGGCGAGCAAGAGGAGGACGTTGCTCTCGTGCTCCCACATCTTAAGTTGCATGACACACTAATGAACTAATAGGACACTAAGACTGACACACTCGGTAGTAGCACTATGGGATTTGTCAGACGCGTGAAGACGGTTGGCTCGATATCCGGGCGTGCCGTAGGA